GAAGGACCCTGTTTCCCAAGTACGTTCATCGCATCATGTTTTATTTTCAGTATTTACTGAAAACAGCGCCAAAAGCTTTTAAGTAGTGCACAACTAAGAGACATGCTCCAAACGAAAGGCAAAAACTAAGAAAACAGCAGCGGTTCTGTGAGAATGCGCTTGCGACAGACCAACATCGAACAGTCTGCGCCAGAGGCCTCTAATGGTGATGGTAGGTAGGCTTGCGACTGTTTTTAATGACGATGAAAAGCAGGTTGGTCCGGTTGACACTGCGCTGCGTCTGCAGATGCTTCAACAAGGCCAATCATTGCCCTGAATGTTCGTTAACAAGGTGTATAGATCGGTATGGGGTTAGGTGCTGGCTGCATTGGTCCGCGGCACCCGAGTCTTGTGAGTCTCTCTTTGATTGGATAGCAGTCAGTCAGTTTGTTTCAAATACGGCTGGTCCAGTCCTGACGATAGTGTTCTACGCCTATGGATTCTCTGCCAAATATTTTCAGGCCTTAGGATTGCACCGAAAGTGCTTTATCGATGTCATTAGGGTGTCTTTCTACCGTCACTTTTTTCCGCTCCCTCTGTCTGCATTCGTTGCGACATTGATATAAATTAATTGTTTCAGTGTGTGCTAACTTTCCGTCCGCACGATGTGGCCGTTTCATCGCGTTCACCTATAAGCACGGCGGGGATACCGGCTACAGCAGTTCTTTCCCGGATCACCGTGTTTCAGATCCCTTCCTGTCACTTCAACTTCACTATTATCCGAAAGCATCTGAAGTTCCAGGAGTTAATTCTCTGTTCTGTATGCGAGCATTTTCAGGCCAACAGCTATACAATTTTGCGCTTTGGAGTATGACCAGGTGGTCTTAATACGGAGTGTTTTAGCTGGCCGAAAATTTAACCTAACTTTGGAGATGCAACTTGCAATTTCGCCGGTCGCGGTTTTTTTTTATCTTTGAACGATAGTGGCGTCCTTGGAATACGGACAGAATCCTCTTTATATCCACCTCGGAGTCAACGGTTGAGATCGACTTTGAAGTGCCCTTCAACGACTCAGTTGATGGCTTCTTCTCAGATTTTGGATGTGTTCGAAGACGCTCTGAAATTAGGCTGTTCTCTGTTCCAATCTCTGTGACTTCTTTTTGACGGGGTTGTTTGTTTCATAAGCAGGTCGTGGATAAATTGTTTACTCCTGTTTCTGTCGATTTGCGCGGCCGAGTGGTTCCATACCGGTGACTTGAATGCACCTCACAGGTCCCTCCTTTTGGTATGGACTTTATTATTCGCCTTAAAGGCTTACAATTTTTTTTTTCAGTTTGAAATTCACACATTTAATAAAATCCACTTGACATTCAGTCGCGTCCTATGCCAGTGTAGTTCGTTGGTCGAACAAGTCTACGCTTGGCCAGCAGGAAAATGGAAACATCTGCCACTGGTGGATGTAGACACAACGGCGACATGGGCACAAGCGATTCAGGCAACCTATACTGTTGCGGAACTACATTTACACGCGTTTCCCACGCTGCGTGCCATGCGTGCACCCGATGACGTTTTGCATTGGCTGTGGCTACAGAGCTCTCATCAGATATGATCGATCGATGTGCACGAGAAGTTAATCAGCTCTCTTAGTACTCCCTTTATCTTTTGCAGTGGATTAGATAGAATATAGCCAACCTAAACGGGGTGGTATAGATAGACACAGACTTTCAGTGAGAATAACCTACCGATTTGAAATATATTTTCTCGTAACTGATCGTGCTCTCTTAATCTTTGTTGTTGGGTTGGGACACTTGTCGAATAAGCATACGTTC